GCTTGACAACCCAGGTTCGAAACCCCAAGGGGTTTCTTTCCTCCCAATGTAACCAAAAAAAAAAAAAAAAGTATGCTGGTCTGGTTTACCTGAAAGGAAGTTATACAAAATTTTCCAAGTACTTTCACTTTATGATTTGGGCCATATGCTTAATAGTTCAATGCCCATCAGAAGTAAGAAGGCCTATCCTAGGGCCAGCCCAAATGGTTCAAGAGTCATTCATGGTGAAGGCTTTATATATGGCCTTTAAGTGAGCTTCTATCTCTTAACCGTTAAATCAGACTAACCAATTTAATTTAACGGCTAACTAATTTGATCCAACGGAAAAAGAAATTATTATCAAAGCTGCTACATGGAATGCTGCTTTTTAGGAAAGCACCCACTCTATATCCTACTCTAAAAAGCATGTCACTTCCAAAAGTACTATAAAGAAAACAGAGCACACAATTTGGGACCTAAGACCCGATATGCGCCAAACTTTTCTTAACCCCCAAAACCCACTACCAGCCCACCACTGCCCACTACTCTTGGCTGGTTTCCTCTAGCCTTCCCTCTCCTCTTTTCGAATAACTGGGTCCAAGCCTCCAAGGCAACTTGCAAGACCATGTGCTTCTTTAAGGCACAGAAAAAAGTTGCTTCAGATTTCATTGGTTGTCATTTATCTTCTTGTGTTCACTGTTCAATATGAAGAGTATGTTTGAAAAAGAACCAGCTGTGGCTGGCATTTTTAAATGAAAGATTGCCTAAATCTAAGCACATCATATATAAAAAGGGAAATATTTTTACTCATCACTTTAATTTAAGGGGTACTCTCACCATTCTTCTTATCACCTGACACATGTCCATTGATATAATCATAGTTAACTTTTTGTTATGTATTTATGGAACTATGATTATGTCCATGAACACATGTCAAGTGTTGAAAATGATGGTGATGGTACACCTTGGGTTAAAGTGGTGAGCAAAAATGAATCAAAAAATGATCCAATAAATCAGTTCATAAAACAAATTGGTTGCTTAAATTTATAAAATCTAGAAAATGCATACAATTCAAACCAACGTTTTTGACCAATCCCACTCCCTTTTTTGTCTAATTGAAAATTGCAAGTTGTTGCTAAATTGTGATTGGAGTTGCAAGATTTCTCATGTTTACAGGGAGCACAACAAAGCTGCTGACCACCTTGCTAATTTGGGGTATGAATTACCTTTAGGGCTTCATAATTTTGAGTCCGTTTTGGATTCCATTTCGATCATTTTGTTGGACGATGTGTTAGGAAGGGCCCTTGGGAGGGCTGTGATCTGTTAGCTTTTTCTTCTTGTTCCGTCTTGGCCTCGGCCTCCTTGTAATCACAAAAAAAAAATGAAGTAGAAACACATGAGAAATTATTTTGAATCTCAAAGCAGCAAAGGTTCAATTTGCTTTTTTTCTGCTCGTGTCTTTTCAAAACACATAGCTGCAACTGCTTGCCAATGGGCACTGGTGTAGACTAGGAGAAATACTTGTGTAACGGGGATACCATTATTTTGTTATTTCCGGTCAATCACGCTATGTCACGCGTGATAATTTTTTCATTTGGCATAGCGTGATTGGTCGGAGATAACAAAATAGTGCTATCCCCATTTCATAAAAAAAATTCTGGTAGACTACAGGGCGGGCCTGACCTTCAAGCTGTAACCTTTCATTATTGATCAATGTTTAGGGACCAGCTTTCAGAATTCTGACCACAAACATGTGCCCTTTACTGCAGCAGTTTATGCTTCTGGGATCTTTTTTCACCCTTTAAAAGAAAATGCCACATAATAAAACTTTTACTGTCATAACAATAGTTTCTCAAGATGAGATGAAATAGTGCTCCTTTTGAGCAGTTTCACTTACAAATTTACCTCAAAAAGTACATCTCCGTTATTTTTCATGCTCAGTCAAAATCAGAGGGAAGACTGACACATTGGTTTTGAAGTATACATACCATATCAGTCAGGCTGCAACTTGGGGCTGTATTGCTATTCTCAGCCCAATCACGCTATGTCCAGTGGAAAAATTATCAAACATGGCATAGTGTGATTAGTCGAACATAATAAAATAGTGTTATTCCCGTTGCACACAGGTGTTTCTCTTTACCTTTTCCTTATAATTTTATATTGAGACAAATGAGACATGTTCTTAAATATTCTTAATAGTTTATGTCTATATGGTGGGCGTCTCTGGTCTATATATTCAACCCTCCACCACTCTTCAAAACCTCCTCTTCCTTATCTTTTCTTCCTGCTCTAAAATTTGGTCTAATCTCTATCTCTGTCCCTCTGCTTCTCTCTGTTTTCCTCTCATAGCTATCTCCCTGGTTCTGAAAACCTGTGTCTGCTTTAAAGTTCATAACATTGGGCACTTCTTTTTCTCTTTTAATGCTCAACATGCATAGATATAGATACAGTTCTTGATGTTTGAGCTAGATTGATGTCTCCTGTACTTAGTGAAATCCTGCTCTCTGGGTTTATGGTAAATTCCACTCTCAGGCGTAGAACCCACCTAGTTCAATCCTTCTCTGTCTGCTTCCTCTACTGGTTCTATGTGTTTTCATGAACACCATCTCTTCATAAAATAGCTCTGCATCACAACTTATAAGTAATTATATTGCTTATTTGAGGTTTTTTCATTTTGTTTTCAAAATTAGCATCTGGGTTGTTTAAATAATCATTCTAGTTTTATTGGGTAAAAGAAAAGACTGCTTTTTTATTTTGTTAAGCATATTTTCCACATGAGTTCTTCTAGTGGGGTTTCTTCAGGGTCAAGCATGCTTCAGAACTCAGGCTCTGATGAAGATCCTCATCAGGTCATGGACCAAAGAAAGCGCAAAAGAATGCTATCCAATCGGGAATCGGCACGTAGATCTAGGATGCGCAAACAGGAGCATCTGACCGATCTGACGGCTCAAATTGGTCTTCTCAAGAAGGAGAACCACCAAATCCTTACAAGCATGAATGTGACCAACCAACTCTACATGAACCTTGAGGCAGAGAACTCTGTCCTCAGAGCTCAGATGGATGAGCTCAGCAACAGACTGCAGTCTCTCAACGATATCATAGACTGCATAAACTCAAGCAAATGGCTTTTTGAGGCTGAAGAAGAAGACACTCAGATTATTGGTGGTGATGGATTTGTTAATCCATGGAGCACTCTCTGTTTGAACCAACCAATTATGGCTTCTGCTGACATGTTTATGTGTTAATAATCTTAATTTGTTCAAATCATGGGTTAAGTGAGTTTCTCTGGTGGTGTTTTTGAGAAATTAGTGAGTTTAAGATGTAAGTAAGAAGCCCATAGGCATTGTGTAAGCAATCAATCTTTCTGGTTGTCAATTACTTGATTTAATAAAATACTATTTTGTTTGAATATGAATAGTGTCTCTTTCTTCCCCAGCTGCATTATGTACATTTCCAGTCTAATGGGTTCTCTGCTGGCCTATTGTTTATTTCTTTTGTTTTGTTTGTATGGTTTTCATGGTTGGATTGGATCATATGGTTAGACAAATTTAGTGGACTCTGAAAGTTTGATATTTTTATTTAAACTTTGCTTGGGTGCTTTGCTGGTGGGATGATGCTTTCTTCTAAGCAATGTTGAGAAGCATAATGAACATTACTTAATTATAAGATCAGAGTCATCAGACCATTATTAATAGGAACCTCTTCTAATTTTTATATGCAGGACAAAATATTAATAACTCATCAATTGTCCCACGCGTTATGATTTTTCTTTCACACACAATACCAAAGTGTTAATGGGGTTCAAACTTAATCATTAGTCTGCAAATCAATGCACTTTTCCACTATTTCTTCTAATTTTTATATGCAGGACAAAATATTAATAACTCATCAATTGTCCCACGCGTTATGATTTTTCTTTCACACACAATAACAAAGTGTTAATGGGGTTCAAACTTAATCATTAGTCTGCAAATCAATGCACTTTTCCACTAGGTGATTTGCACTTTTCCACTAGGCTAGACCCGATTGGCAAAACTGATGTTATTTGAAGACAAATCTTGTGACGTTTTGGAGTTTATCGAGCAGGAATATTATGCCCTTTCATTTTTTTTTGTTTTATCAGGAAAAGAGAAGAAGAAAAAGAGGCTCATGAATTGAAGTCAGAAAAGAGGTGCTCAATTAGTTCTGTTGGCAAGCCAACCGAGTGCCCATTGTGTCACTGAGTGATAAGATCACATTGATCAATAATTTTTTTTAAGCAATGAAGAATATAAATTAAGGCTTTGGGCCCCACTTACTAGTATATACTATGAACATAGACTACAATACCTTTACATAACAAAAATGCACGTTTTTCTAAAATCTAGTTCTTAATGGGGAAAATGATTTTAATGCAAAAGATTAAAAATATATAGGTAAGGCGTAGACCTAATAGAGGTGATTAATTAAGTGTTAAACCATGCTATTGTGTATGTGATGTGTTGTTGGGCATGGCACTTGCTCACCCACTAATTCAATTGAAAAAGAAAGGCAAGCATATGATAAGTTTCAATGTCCATGGAAGGTGATGAAAGCATGTGGCCAACCAATTATGACAGAATTGCTCACATGGGCAAGAAATTTAACTATAATTTGTGAAAGCTAGAGTGCATGTTTTTTCTTTTATTGTTAGAAAATAAAGAAGGTAGGTTTGATCATAGAAATAAGAAGCCATCTTTCCTTGGAAAAAGAATTGCAATTATTGGCTTGACATGCCTTGTTTTTTCAGTCTTTCTTCTTTTTAATATAACCTTAGAAACTTAACTTGCCTTCAAGGACATTTGCCACAGAGAAGTTTGAACAACATGACATATTTTAGGTTAATATATTTCCTTTCTTAGTTGAGACAACAATTACCGTACCTAGTACGGCAATTTGCCATTTCACTTTGCAAAATGCTTCAAGAGCATCTCTAATTACATTGTAATTCCTACTACAATACTAGTGGGAAGATTGGACTAGTTTGCATTGAAAAGAATTTATGATATCGAAATGTTAGCCGGACCAGAGCTTAAGATTATGACTTTCATGTTGAACAAGAGAATAACTGTTCTTTTCCACTCAGTCATCAAGCATATCACATCCCTTAACACAACATTAAATTTAATACAGGAAACAAAACTACCCCTGCTTACACACGAGTATACTTCCAAGGCTGTGAAGGGTATCCAAGTCATAAAGATTTCAAAACTGCAAGACCTCTACAGGTGGGCACTTGTTTGTTCCCTAGAAAATGGAAAAGCTCGTAGGTTTAAAGAGGCAAAAAGAAAAAAGAAACGAAAAAACAATTCCTCAATCATCTTCTAATTTAACCAGGTCAAGACCCAGGTGGGGTTCTGCTCTTCTTGATGTAACTCCCAAATCTTTGGGCAACTGCAGCATCGTATGATGTATCCCATACCTGAAAATTCAGCCACATTGAATTAGCAATCATCATCCACCATAGAAATGCCTTTCAAATATCCAAAAATCCACCCATAAACAAGATACAGAAAGATGGCTCACTTCCAGAGTCCCTTTTGAGCCTCCTATGGCAAGCAAAAACGGGTTATCTTCTGAGAACGAAACAGAAAACACAGCTCCCTGACAACATTCAGAAGAGAGTCCGACAATCAATCTCTCATTGAAAATAAACAAATAAGAAAAAGAAGAATAACTCATTACGTTAGCATATAAATCATATGTCACTTACTGCTTTAGGGTTCCTGGATGAAATGCATGAGGGTTGGTTGTTTGACACATCCCAAAGCTTTACCTGCAACAAATAGTAGTGGAACAATATTAGGATATCCAAATCTGGTTGGTATACAGACTCAGCAGGTAATGGGAAGAACATAATACCATTTTGTCCGTGGATCCAGTTGCAAGAAGCTGAAAAGAAAAGCACAAAGGTGAGATTACACATAAATCAACAGCATAAAAAGTACCCAAAAGTGAAGAGAAAGAGGACTGTACATTAGGTGCTGAGGGGTTATAGGAGATTGCGCAAACAGCTTTGTCATGTGCATGAAGAGTAAAACTAGGTTTAGACTCAGAAGTAGAAGAAGATGTGGCAGCCCGAATATCAAAACCTTTGACTGTGCCGTCTTCAAGGCTCACCTGGATGGATTTACAAAATGAATGATGATCAATAAATGATAATTCTTATCTAGCCAGAGAGTAACTGTATCCACATTAAAAGTACATATAATACACACACACAGGTGTTGATACAAGGAATCAACCAAAAAAAAGCAAAGAACTTCGTAATTGAGTATGAAAAATGACTGTCTTAAGAGCCAAAGCACACACCACAAATGAATGCTCAGTGTGTGGATCCCATGCTAAGCTTTCTACATCAGCTGTGACTGTCCATTTATAGCCAGAATGTGATGACGCCCTCCCATCTTTCTGGAATGCATAACAATTATAAATTCACCAGTCAATGAAATTTTCAAATAAGAAAGTTCCTTGACAATGTCTAAAGTTTGTCAGAAAACAAATATATGAAAAGAATGCAACACTCAAGTAAAAATAATATACCAAGACTACTGAATGATCAAAAGATCCACTAAGAAGAACTTGATGGGCAAAATAATTCCATGCAACTGCCTGAACCTGTAAAAATTAGTATGAAGAAGTTAAAATTGAGGTTAAATTGCTAAAATTGCAAGGAAAAGTCAGCTGAAATCCTTAAAATAGAGAGCTCAAGATTGCATTTGTTCTATAGCACACCATCCAAAATATGATTTTGGGATAAAAGATATAAATGCAATGCTGTCTAAATTCTTGCCTTGTCTGTATGATGCTCCATGGTAATAGTACATTTTCCGGTAGCCACATCCCAAATCTTAACTTGTTTGTCAGCACTTGCACTAGCAAGTACATTTCTGTTTATAGGAAAAGACAATATCGAATATAAACCTTCCACTGAAGCAACAAGTAGTACAAAACTATAAAAGAGTTAACAAACCTGTAGAACTTATTCCAAGCAAGCCCAAGAACTGAATCTCTGTGGCTGCCTTCTTTGTATTTGATTGATGCCTAACACAAAGCAAGTTGCAGAATTGGTAAAAGGAAGTGACAAAGAATTGTATGATTATCAAACCCAGGCATTGAAGGAATTGAGCATCAAACCTTCTTTCCTTTCTTTTTCTTCATCTCAGCAATACCGCCCAATACCACACATGGTTGTACTTCATCAATCTGAAAAACAGAAAAAATGTTTAGAAAAAGCAATAATATCTCCATCAATTTCCTACTTAAACCTATCTAATGAGAGTAGAACGCATAAACTACATACAATGTCAAGATCCCAAATCTCAATGGAAGGTTCATCCATTAAACCAACAGCTATGAAATTCCCTGCCAGCATTGAAAAAAAAGAATTAAATACAAAGGTAAAGCAATGCAGAAACTGAAAACTTATCTACGTTTTAATAAACTTGTAAAAGAACCAGCTGTGGCTGGCATCTTTAATTGAAAGATTGCCTAAATCTAAGCACATGATATCTAAAAAGAGGAATATCCCATATATACATGTATTTAAGCAAGCAATATGTTAATGGAAATGGAGTAGACCCCAAATATTGATAAAAATCAGAAATGATCCAATAAACCATACAAGGTTCATAAAACAAATTGGTTACTTAAATTTATGAAGTCTAGAGAATGCATATGATTCAAGTTTAAACACATGAAAAATTACTTTGAATCTCAAATTACTATGAAGTCTAGTGAGAAATTACAATGCATAAGATAATCTCATTTAAATTCGCCAAAATGAGAGCTCATGGGTAACAGAAATCTAAATTTTAACAAAATTGTAATTGATATCTAGGAAAACAACCAATGAAGATGAACAATATTCAGATTCACCAAATAGAGGCTAATGATTAACAGAAATTTAAAAGAAGAAAAAGAAAATATTACATTTTTCTTAAGAGAAGAATAAATTACAATTAAAAAATATAACTCACATATATGAGTAAACTCAAGCAACTTCAACCAAAATGCATAATATCACATGATTCGCACCTTTGTCTCCACCTTTGAGAGGACAATCAAGCCATGCTGTGCAAAGGGGGAACGATGAAATGATGACATCATGGTGCACATAAACATTTGATTCACCATCTTCTGATTCGACATACAGCCAAATCTGCTCATACGTAATTCAATTATTATCAGTGGCAAACCGACAAAGAGAAATGAAACAATAGTTTCAGCTATCTATTACATGCCTCAAGCTGGCTGACATCATCCTCATTGCGGGCACATACTATGACTGAATCAGTCGGGTTAATGGTCATGTCATCACTGTCTTCAGACTCCTCGTCCTTTGATAAAATTAAAAATTGAATATGAAAAACCGAATCGCTCTTCTAGCCTCACAAAACAAGAGAACAACAAAAACTGGAACAAAAACAGTGGCATAATTAAGTTGTAAAACTTACATCATCCTTATCCTTGAGATATGGATCCATATCATTACTAGGGTAGTAAAGGTCTCCAAGCCCACTACTAAACGGGTCAATGCCTGAGGTTAGACATAAGAAGAAGCACTGTTAGCTATATATCTTAATTGACACTCATGAGAGGAAACATATAGACTATAGTACTAATAAAGCCATTTAAAACTCAAGCAAATTACTACTCTGTAACTTCAACAATGCTTCAAGTTCAACCTTGTCTAATAGCTTAAACTTTGGTCATGTCAACAATGCTTCAAGTTCAACACCTCCAGCTTAAGCAACATTGTGAATAATCCCCCTTATACTCCAAAAATGAATTCAAGAAAATAAAGATAAAATAGAAATACCATCCTCCTCATCATCATAATGTTCCATGTCAAGTTCCCTCAATCCATCGGTTATATCATCAAATTTGGTCCCTGACTCTGTAACTTTTGAAGCTTTGCCGAGTGCTTTTGCTACCTCTAATGCTTGGGAGATTTGATCACCCTTCTTTGGGGTTTCAACATCCATTTCTCCATCATCGTCCTCACTTTCACCATCTCCACTGCACAAAACAACACCCACCACAACCATACAAGTCAGCAAGTCGAAAATCAACACCAAAATGCATGAACCCTCTTTGCCAAACAGCAAACACATGACAAATATACTCCATGAAAAATTCAATCTTTTCCTTTTGCTTCAAGAAAGAAACTACCAACCCCATAAAGAACAAGACCAACAATTTGTTGCAAAAGAAGTGATCGTCTTTAACAAAAAATAAAATCAAAGAGTTCAGAGCTTAGCCTCAGAACAATAACAGCTATCAGAACAGACAATGGTCATTCAGCATCAATCTTTACGATCACAAAAATTAGACAAATAAAAAACGAGCTGAAGAACTTCACCTTCTCTCCAAAGCACCGGTTTTTATTAACTCATCGATTTCCTCTTTGGTGGGCGGGTCGGCGACTGAGGGAACTGGCTTTGAAACTCCCCTGGGCACCCAAGAAATTGCTGATATCATTTCCTCTTCTTCGTTTTAAAACTTGGTTGAGCTTAAATTGCTGTGTTTGACAAAGGTGAAGGTTTCAGGAGCTATGAAATTTGGCGGTGGAGCAACGAGGACTGTATTTCTGTTGCCGCTCCTCGATGGTGAAAAATAGGGTTTTAATAAAATTTCGGACCTGTTTGGTTATAGGGATATTCCTAAACCCAATCAGATTAGAGTTTTGCTAACGTTTTCTTCATTTGTTTTTAGTTTGGGTTTTGTTTTGTTTTTCAACTACTTATTTAAACTTCTTTATTTTCTGTTTGCCAAAGTTTACACACTTAATAGAGGTTTGAAACCCTACACCACTTGGAAACACACCAAGACTTGGATAAATCTAACACCTAGACTTGGGCCAATCTAACTCACACCATTGATAACGTGTCTTTTTTTCGTATGAATACTTTTTTCACATGTCAATTTGCCCAAATCGTCAAATATAACACATTTTTTGATAGAATACTTTATTTTTATTTTTTTAGCTTGTTAATTTATTGTCTTTTTAGGATTTGTATGTCTTACTAATAATTTTATCAAAACTACGTGTATTAAACAATAGAAATATGTACATATATGTACAATACGACTATTGTACGTTTGCTTTTTAAAAAAAGTGAGACGTGTATAGAATACGAATATTTTATTTAAAAATCTGTATATATATATAAGACTAGCCAATCGTCTATACTATTTATTAAGACAATTTAAAAAACCAGTGAAGCCGCCTAGCTATACTATTTTTATAAAAAAAAATTAGAAACAAAATGGAGTATAGCCATCCGGCTACACTATTTACTTAAAAAACATAGCAGCCCCAGTGTAAAATAGTACGGCCGTGCGGCTATACTTGTTTAAAGAAATTTAAAAAAAATTGTAACCGAAAAAAAAAAAAAAAGAAATTTAAAAAACTGAGTATAGCCGTGCGGCTATACTAATTTATCCAGCAATTAGGCGCCACGTGTCAAAACAAGTCTATTTTTAAAAAACAATTAAAAACACGAAGTATAGCCGTGCGGCTATACACTTTTATAAATAAAAATTAAAAAAATAAAAATAGGACCCTCTAGCGATATGTGCCACGTGTCAAAAATAAGTGTCGCCGCCCGGCTCTAATATTTAAATACATTATATTTAAAAAGGTATAGCCGAATGGCTATACTATTTAATTTATTATTTTTTTTAAAAGGACCCTCCTAGTTGCATTAGTTTGTACTTTCTATAGTTATTAATTTGCTAGTTTCAACATATCTTAAGTAGATATTAACCGGCCACTATATAATTTTTTAATATAATTTTTTATAACATATGTTATTCTTATTCAATAATATGTGTATAAAACATTAGAAATACATACGTACAAGTACAATACGACTATTGTATGTTTGCTTTTTTAAAAACGTTAGATGTGTATAGAACACAAATGTATTATTGAAAAATACGTACGTACATATATATATATATATATATAAAAGACTATAGCTATATATATATATATATATATAAAAGACTATAGCTGATCGTCTATAGCATTTATTAAAGATAATTTATAAATAAATTAAAAAACCGGTAAGGCCGAACGGCTATACTATTTTTTAAAAAAAATTTGAAAAAAATCGAGTATAGCCGCACGGCTAGACTATTTACTAAAGAGAAAAACAAAGTATCTGCTGCACAACATCTAGGTGCCCGCATGTAAAATAGTATAGCCGTGCGGCGGTACTATTTTTAAAAATAAAAAAAGCCCACAGCATTATGCGCCACGTGTCACAAGTCTATTTTTAAAAAAATTAAAAACACGGGGTATAGCCGTACGGCTGTACTATTTATTATTTTTTTTAAGAAGACCCTCTATCGATTAGTTGCCATGTCAAAAATAAGTATAGCCGCGCGGCTATAAGATTTAATAAATAAAATAAAATAAAAAGGACCCTTCAAGTTGCATTAGTTTGTACCTTATAAATAGTAATTTGCTAGTTTCAACATATCCAAAATAGATATTAATCTTCCACTATATGATATTTTAATATAATTTTTATAACATATGTTATTCATATTCAATAATATGTGAGAATTATTTGTATAATACATGAATTTTTCGTGTCTTACTGAAAATTTTGTAAAAAATACATGTATAAAACATTAGAAATACATACATACATATACAATACGACTATTGTATGTTTGCATTTAAAAAACGCAAGACGTGTATAGAACACGAATGTATTATTAAGAAATACGTACATATATATATATATGTATATATATGTAAAAGACTATAGCCGATCGTCTATACTATTTATTAAAGACAATTTATGAATAATAAAAAACCAGTAAAGCCGACCGGCTATACTATTTTTTAATTAAATAATTAATTAACTAATCAGTTTTAATTTAAATCATAGAGCCCAAAACAAAACAAAAAACAAAAAACAAAAAATGCTAAAACTTCTGAGTACTTGGAGTCACTGGCGGACTCAGAAATTTTTTAGCGGATGTGCAATATTGACTAAGTATGAAAAATGATTTTTCGGAATAATTATTTTCTCAAGATAATTTTTGGTGGCTTTTATTCCTTACACATCAAATAAGAAACTTGATTTTATGGGATTTTAGTATGAAGTATATATTGACTTAATGAGCCATCATTTTTAGCCTAAATCGTATTTTGATCTAAAACCGATTTTTCATATTTTGATTTGGTGGGAATTTGATTTTCTAGTATTTTTATTTGAATCCAAATAGGGGGTACTTCCTTATTTACATTGTAAACTTATGATGAAAAGTCAATGATTAAAATAAAACATGCTTTTGGATGCCAATTATCATTGAAACCATCATTTAGCCTGCAGTGCATGAATAGTATAGTCCCATGTCGGCAGATGGTTTCAAAGCCAAAGTTGTCAATGATGAGATGATGAAGGAGCATCAGGTGAGAGATTAGCCATTTATAAGAAAATTGATCCCTCATAATCTCAACACTTACAAAAACTTTTGAATTCTCAATCTCAAGGAGGAGTAGTAACAAAAGCTTATAAATATCTCTTACACAGTTATATTCCAATTGCACGGAGGTGGGTAAGTGTCAGCAGCTTTAACTTACTTTAAATCCTATCTCTTATCCATGCACCATGCACCATGCACCATGCACCAACATACACTTGTCGTCTCGTAACATTGCCACGTGTTTCAGTAGTTAACGTGGCACTAAGATGTCCAGGTATGTGTAAGAATTTAACCTACATGCACATCATGCATGCCTTTACGTAATTGCCTTTATAAACCAACCCCAATTCTCACTTTCAATTCCATCCAATCCAAGACAACTTACTTTCTATTCAAAAAATCAATCTACAATCTCAATTTGTTTCTTTGTGTGATCTTTGAAAATGTCGCATTACCAGAACCAATATGGTGCAACGGCCCAATCTACAGATGAGTATGGGAACCCAGTCACCTCCTACACCGGATCAGAGCCCCAATCTACAGATGAGTATGGGAACCCAGTCACCTCCTACACCGGATCAGAGCCCCACCGCGAAAGGGGGATGATGGACAAGATCAAGGACAAGCTCCCAGGTACTCATGACCCCTACTCATCTCATTCTCAGACAACCTACCCCACTCTACCTTACGGTGAAACCGGCTACACTGGATTGGAGCAGCACCATGGGATGATGGACAGGATTCCAGGTACTGACCCCTACTCATCTCATTCTCATACAGCCGGCACCACTGCACCTTACGGTGGAACCGGCTACACTAGATCGGAGCAGCACCACGGGATGATGGACAAGATTTCCGACCCCTACTCATCTCATTCTCATACAACCGGCACCACTGCTCCTTACGGTGGAACCGGCTACACTGGATCGGAGCAGCACCCTGGGATGCACAAGATTACCGACCCCTACTCATCTCATTCTAATACAACCGGCACCACTGCACCTTACGGTGGAACCGGCTACACTGGAACAGAGTACCGCCACCAGAAGGGCACGATGGACAAGATCAAGGACAAGCTGTCTGGGACTGGGGGACATAGGGCGGATGATCCTTACTCATCTCATTCTCATACAACCACCACCACGACACCTTACGGTGACACCACCACCACACCTTACGGTGGCACCACCACGTCACCTTACGGTGACACAACCACCACACCTTACGGTGGCACCACCACGTCACCTTACGGTGACACCACCACCACACCTTACGGTGGCACCACACCTTACGGTGACACCACCACGACACCTTACGGTGGCACCACCACGACACCTTACGGTGACACCACCACCACACCTTACGGTGGCACCACCACCCCTGGAAAGAGGGGCATCATGGACAAGATCAAAGACAAGCTTCCTGGTGGACATTATTAAATCACTTCATATATAGGGTTATGTAAGAGATTGATTCGCTAGGTGTCGTTTTGTGTTCAATGTTTTAGTATGACGTGTACAATAAGGTGTGCTTGGTGTAGTTCTTATGTTTGTGAACACCGAGCTCTGCGCCATGTCCTCTGTATTTTGTGATACATACTTTGTATGTCCTTTATATCTATATATTTGCTCTTCTTAACAATAGTTCGTGTGTAAGCAAGTTTTAATTCTTTGGAGAGGGATTTTTTATACCATCAATATTATTCTAATCTACAAGGAATTCAAACTTGATGGCAAAAAGTAAGGTTCACCTCTGTTATTATTCATGGTATTCATGATTAGGTGGTGGATAAAGAATTTTATGGCTATACGTTGTAGCATCTTCAACAATAAAATATCTTTTTCAGAAAAATAAAAAGAAGGTGTCGGTTCATGTCACAATCATTGACTTAACCCATCGTATGCTTTGAAACTCAAATTCTTTTTAGTAAAAGCATTTAAATCTAGAGTCTTTTTTTTTTTTCCTTTTCTTTTTATTAAGTCAGTGGTGTTTTACTATTTCACCCTATCTTAATTAATGATTAGCGATACTTGTTTTTTTAAGCGTGTGTATAGAATAGATACCTGAATGCCTTCAATTAGATAACCTGACGTAAATTTAAAGTAAGTTTGTTGTGTCAAGGTAATGTCACTTGGGCCTTGTAATTATCAACGTTTGATGGTGGGAAAAAAAGTTCATGGCAATTTAGAGCTATTTATTTGTTAGCTTTACAAACTTCAAATTTCTGCATAATTATACATTCCTCGCACAAAAGCCACACATACTAATTTTCCTGAGTCGACTTGAAAGTTGCATGACAAATCATCATCGTCTGCATATTAATTATTCATATTTTCCGCATACAAACTCATCTCATCAACCAGAAAGTTATGATCATTATTATTTCCACACTGAATATAGGTAGCATTTTATTTTGGATTCAAATCAACAGGCCCCCAAAAGTATTACAAACACTGCAGTGTAAAAAACTAAATAATGCTTGCTGCCTCCTTCAAATCAAACCATTTCGATTCATATCTGAGAGAGACCTTTATCTCCGTAAAATTTCTGCACGAACTTCATTGCTACTATTAGACTTTTTATCTAGCAAAAAACAATTTCAAATGCATATTAACAATTCATAAGCAAGTACAAAAAACAATTTCGAATGTGTATTATTATATTTTCGTAACACCTTAATCAGCTAAATAGAACTCAACAGAGGTATCCTACTTGTGGTCACAATGCAAGTAATCATTTAACTATTGAAAGCATCACCACTATAGGTTGCAATTGTAAACAAAATATGAGACAGAAACTGGAAAAAGGATACTAAAACAACCATAACCCAGGATACCATACCTATTTATCACTGAACAAATTCAAACAAATTTAGGCCATTTTTCTGCATTCCATAACCAATTCAAACAGTTATATCTGTTACCTTAACAACAATAAGTAAACCACCTAAATTTTTACAAACTCATTCAAAAATCAAAGTTTATTCGAATAATCAAGAAGATCAAATGGTTTTCTTCTTTTCTCATATCCATTACAACCCTCTCAGAAGTCAGATATGCATGATACTCGAAATCAACAAACCCAAAAGTAATCAAGTGTAATCTCAACCTCTTGCTCAGAAATCTTCAAACTAGATTAGAAACCTATCTCAGAACCCCAAATCGAAAACAGCAACCCAGATGGAGAAAAAAGAGAGAACAAAAAAAAACCATAGCCATCGATACTCATACCTGATTGCTATAGGAATCTCGCAAGCTGAGCTCGCAACGGCGGGCCTGCTCTTCAGCTCGCGATGGTGGAAGGGTGGGCTCTTCCCCTTTTGTCGTTCTTTTCTGTGTGTGTGTCTTAGCTTTTCTCGGGCGATTGTATTTGTGGGTCATAAGAAAGAAAACAGGTTAAAACATTTAAAACAACCACAGCCGCAAGATCTCATTAAAAGAGATCCAACGACTGAGCGCCCCATCCCTCAAATAATTCCTCAACTGAACTGAAGGGGAACACACTTCTGATGAAAAGCCAATTATTAAAATAAAACATCAATTACCATTGAAACCATAATTTAGCCTGCACTGCATGAATAGTATAGTCCCATGTCGGCAGACGATTTCAAAGCCAAAGTTGTCAATGATGAGATGATGAAGGAGCATCAAGTGAGAGATTAGCCATTATGACTAAGCAAGCATTTATAAGAAAATTGATCACTTAATCACTGTCCCACAACATGCTCCCTCATAATCTCATCACTTATAAAAACTTTGAATTCTAAATCTCAAGGAGGAATAATAACAAAGGCTTATAAATATCTCTTACACATAGTTATATTCCAAGTGCACGGAGGTGGGTAAGTGTCAACAGCTTTAACTTACTTTAAATCTTATCTTATATTCCAACTCCATGGACCATGCACCATGCACCAACATACAGTTGTCGTGTCATAACATTGCCACGTGTTTCAGTAGTTAACGTGGCACTAAGATATGAAATCAGTATCCCAGGTATGTGTAAGAATTTAACCTACATGCACATCATGCATGCCTTTACGTAATTGCCTATATAAACCAACCCCAATTCTCACTTTCAATTCCATCCAATCCAAGAAGACAACTTACTTTCTACTCAAAAAATCAATCTATTTGTTTCTTTGTGTTATTGTGTGATCTTTGAAAATGGCGCATTACCAGAATCAACATGGTGCAACGGCCCAATCTACAGATAAGTATGGGAACCCAGTCACCAGCTACACCGGATCAGAGCCCCACCGCGAAAGGGGGATGATGGACAAGATCAAGGAGAAGCTCCCAGGTACTCATGACCCCTACTCATCTAATTCTCATACAACCGGCACCACTGCACCTTACGGTGGAACCGGCCACACTGGATCGGAGCAGCACCATGGGATGATGGACAAGATTACTGACCCCTACTCATCTCATACTCATACAACCGGCACCACCGGAACAGGGCACCGCCAGCAGAAGGGCACGATGGACAAGATCAAGGAGAAGCTGCCTGGGACTGGGGGACATACAACCGCCACCACCACACCTTACGGTGGCACCACCACACACACCCGTCAAAAGAAGGGCATCATGGACAAGATCAAAGCGAAGCTTCCTGGTGGACATCATTAAATCACTTCATATATATAATAATAAATAGGGTTATGTAAGAGATTGATACGCTATGTGTCGTTTTGTGTTCAATGTTTTAGTGTGACGTGTATAATAAGCGGTGCTTGGTGTAGTTCTTATGTTTGTGAACACCGAGCTCTGCGCCATGTCCTTTGTATTTTGTGATACATACTTTGTAAGTCCTTTATATCTATATATTTGCTCTTCTTAACAACAGTTCGTGTTTAAGCAAGTTTTAATTCTTTGGAGAGGGATTTTTTATACCAGCAATAGTCTAATTATTTTAAATTATTCTAATCTATAAGGAATTCAAACTTGATGGCAAAAAGTAAGGTTCACCTCTGTTATTATTCATGATTAGGTGGTAGATAAAGAATTTTATGGATAGACGTCGGTTGTAGTATCTTCAACAATAAAATATCTTTTTCAGAAGAAAAAAAAAGCGTCGGTTCATGTCACAATCTTAACCCACGTATGCTTTGAAACTCAAATTCTTTTTAGTAAAAAGCATTTAAATCTAGAGTCATTTTATAATAAGGGCGGCCCCTAAATATTGAATTAATTTAGTTTAATGACTAATTAATTTGATCTAATTGTTAAGAGATAAGGCTGCACTGTAGAATTTCGCTACTCAACAGATTGGTCCGTTTCATGTCGGCCGTTTGTAGACCAAACTGCTGAAATTGGGCCGGTTCAATTCAATAACCCTGTAGATCTAGAACCAATGGATAACATCCACGTGGAACCTCATACACGGAACGATGAAATCCCTCTTATGAATCTTAGCCATCCAATGAGTCGGCCTGTGTGACAAAGATCAAGATAATGACGACTTTTACAAGGGTCAAAAAGCTAGTGGAGTGGGAACGGGTACAGAGGTAGTTGTTCCTCCTGTCGTCATCAATTCCATACGGACGCGGTGAATTGTCATCAGCTTTTAACTTCAAGACAACGAGAACCACTTATATAATCTTATCTTAATCTTTATCTTTAATTATGCCCGACCTAAAAGGAAAACAGACAGAAACAAAATATCTTCCTATGTGCCGACACTGGCACACACGTGTCCTGTCTCAACATCGCCACGTGTCTAAATGTGAATATCAGGCAGGTACGAAATTTACTTTGCTAATTATGTACGTGGGTACGTGTAAAGATTAATGAAATTATTATTCGTGGCATGGCATGCGCGTTATGCATGCATAGCCTTTGGGTGTAGATTCGTTGCCTATATAAACCAACCTCAGTTCTGATTTCAAATATATCACTTCATCCCAAACAAAGTCAGTTTCTTTCATTTCGTTTTAATCAGGAGTTGTTTTTTCTTGTGTTTTTTTCCTTCGTACTTTGAAAAATGGCGCATTTTGGTTCAACACCCGAGCCTACTAATACTGACGAGTTCGGGAACCCGGTTCATCACTCCACCACCGGAACCGGCAGGAAAGACGAGTTCGGGAACCCGGTTCAGCACGGTGTGGCGGATACCGGGTACGGAACTGGTGCAGGGTACGCCACTCATACAAAACCTAGTGTTGTTGAGCATCACGGCGTCCCTGCTGCGTTTAATTCCAAGGATGACCAGTACTCTCGTGACAGCCAGACAACCACTGGAGGTTACGGCGGGGACGGGTACACAGGAGGGGAGAAGAAGGGTATATTAGGCCAAGTCAAGGACAAGCTGCCAGGTGGCAACAAGGATGACCAGTACTCTCATGACACCCAAACCACCACTGGAGCTTACGGTGGGGCCGGCTACACAGGAGATGATACCCGGGAGAAGAAGGGTATAATAGGCCAAGTCAAGGACAAGCTGCCAGGTGGGCAAAAGGATGACCAGTACTGTCGTGACAGCCACCCAACCACTGGAACTTACGGTGGGGCTGGGTGCACAGGAGGAGAGAACCAGGAGAAGAAGGGTGTAATAGGCCAAGTCAAGGACAAGCTGCCAGGTGGGCAAAAGGATGACCAGTTCTGTCGTGACACCCACCCAACCACTGGAGCTTACGGTGGGGCTGGGTACACAGGAGGAGAGCACCAGGAGAAAAAGGGTGTAATAGGCCAAGTCAAGGACAAACTGCCAGGTGGGCAAAAGGATGAGCAGTATTCTCATGACACCCACCCAAGCACTGGAGCTTTCGGTGGGGGTGGGTACACAGGAGATGATACCCGGGAGAAGAAGGGGGGAATAGGCCAAGTGAAGGACAAGCTGCCAGGTGGGCAAAAGGATGATCAGTACTCTCATGACACCCGCAAAACTACTGGAGCTTATGGTGGGGCTGGGGACACAGGAGATGATACCCGGGAGAAGAAGGGGGGAATAGGCCAAGTGAAGGACAAGCTGCCAGGTGGGCAAAAGGATGATCAGTACTCTCATGACACCCGCAAAACTACTGGAGCTTATGGTGGGGCTGGGGACACAGGAGATGATACCCGGGAGAAGAAGGGGGGAATAGGCCAAGTGAAGGACAAGCTGCCAGGTGGGCAAAAGGATGACCAGTACTGTCATGACACCCACCCAAGCACTGGAGCTTTCGGTGGGGGTGGGTACACAGGAGATGATACCCGGGAGAAGAAGGGTGTAGCTGACAAAGTGAGGGAGAAGCTGCCAGGTGGGCAAAACGTGCACCCAACCACCGGACCTTACGGTGGGGCCGGGGCCACAGGAGGAGAGACCCGGGAGAGGAGGGGTGTAGCGGACAAAGTGAAGGAGAAGCTGCCATGTGGACCTAAGGATGACCAGTACTCTCATGACACCCACCCAACGAATCCAACCAGTGCAGGTCACGGTGGGGTCGGGCACACAGGAGGAGAGCCCCAGCTCCATGAGAAGAAGGGGTTGATGGAGAAAATCAAAGACAAGCTTCCTGGTCACAACAACTAGTAGATGGAATGGATAATATTTTGAATTTCGTATCAGATAATTATCTGCTGTGTATAATAAATCGGTGCTTGTTGTTGGTCTGTGACCACCGAGCATTGTACAATGTCGTATTTTGTAATATGTAATATTTGGATGTCGTTTGTGTTTAAGTATAAATGTGCTCGTCTGAGTACAGTGTTTTGCTTTTGTAACTATTTAATGTCTGCTGTTTTCAAGTATAAATTTCGCTCACTATGACCTCAATGCACATATATTATTTATTTATTTATTTATTTTTGTGATCAACTAGATTAGTCTAAATGAAATCTTAATGAGCAGCAAAACCTTGCTTTAAGCTGTTGAGCAGCAATATCAACTCATAGCTATCTCCTTTATCAACTCTTTGCTCTATAATCTGGTTTAAGCTGGTATTTGTTTTTGAAAGTACAACTTTACCACCCCCCAAAATAAAAAAAAGTAATTCGATTTATATTTAAGTGATATTTTTATGCATTTTATAAAGTTGTTAATTCCTTTTTAAATTACAATAGTTCATATAAATGTTTTCAACTTACCGGGGATAACAAATTCACATAAAAAGTAGTTGGCGTTGGCGTTGGCGTTGACTGGTTGCTTAGTTCATAAAGGGAAACATTTTAGTAGTTGGCTTAGGGAGGGAGAAACCCCCTCTGGAATAAAAAGCAATGTCTGGATAAATTGAAGACTAATCCAACGACCTTTACAGCGCCACTTGTCAAAATGTGACAATGCAACAAGTTCCAATAATTTTCAACAGAGACAGAGACAGAGACACAGAGGTAGCTATCGTCAAACTGGTTCATGTGCATTACGCGGTCAAGTGTCACGAGCTTTTAACTCCAAAGACAAAGAATACTATCAACACATGATATACACATCTTATCTTGTCTATGATGCAGAAACAAAATCCAATTGTCCTCTCCCATCGCCGCCAGGTGTCCCAGTGGCTAACGTGGCTGCAGTGCATGGAGTCATTATTCGCGTACGTGTAAGAATATGCATGCCTTGGCAATCCAATTGCCTATATATAACCCCATTCCTCATTTCAAATACATCAAATCCCAAACAAATCTTCATTTCAAATTACTCAAAAGTTCAGAAGCTGTTTGCGTTTGCAGTTTGAAAATGGCGAGCTATGACAAGCAGTACGGGGCAACACCGACCGACGAGTACGGGAACCCGATCCGCCGCACCGACGAGTACGGGAACCCGGTGGGGCCCCGAGTGGACGAGTACGGGAACCCACTTGGTCATCACACTGCTACGACTGGAACCACCACGGGCGCTGGAGGGTACGCCCCTCATGACTTCGCCGCTACCACGGCAGCTGGCCAAGGCCAAGGAGTGCATGGTCACGACTATGACAGGAAAGAGCACCACGGCGTCACTGGCGCCGTGCTTCACCGCTCCGGTAGCTCAAGCTCTAGCTCTGTAAGTCCTCTTTTTTTATTTTCCTCTCTAATATATCAAATTATGGGAATTTAATATGCTCGATTGCGCAATATATTTTGTATCACATCCATCTTGAACAGAAGTGAGACTCGTCTCACATTTGTTAGAGATAGAGATGCGTGCACATAAATAATTTTATTATATGATATGATAAAGTTGATAATTGATTGTGATTTGTAGTCTGAGGATGATGGGCTAGGAGGGAGGAGGAAGAAGAAGGGGTTGAAGGAGAAGATAAAGGAGAGGCTGCCAGGTGGAACCAAAACCGATACCACATACGGTGGAACTGGGACCACCGGGCAGCACCACCATGAGAAGCTGCCTGGGACTGGGGGGCATAGGGCAGATGACCCCTACAAATCTCAGACTCATACAACTGCCACCACCACACCTTATGGTGGAACCGCCTACACCGAAGAGCACCACGAGAAGAAGGGGATCATGGACAAGATCAAGGAGAAACTTCCCGGACAACACTAGATATCATTTATAATATGTATACAGAGTGGTTAATTAGTAATATTATGCCCTGTATAATAAGCTGGCGGTGAGCTCAGTTCTTTTATGCTCAATACGCAATACCGAAGAGCACCACGAGAAGAAGGGGATCATGGACAAGATCAAGGAGAAACTTCCCGGACAACACTAGATATCATTTATAAGTGCTCATATATAAATATGTATAAAGAGTGGTTAATTAGTAATATTATGCCCTGTATAATAAGCTAGCGGTGAGCTCAGTTCTTTTATGCTCAATACGCAACGTCGTTTGTGTTTCGTAATGTACTTTGTATGTCGTTTGTTTCAATAAATATAGACTTGCTTTTCTGTGAGCAACATATTTGACCCAATGAAAAAAAAAATAGACTTGTTAGCAACCAAGAAAATTAAGGTCAAAAGTTAACAAATAAAATCTTGTTTCATTAGCACAAAAATAAATAAAATAATCAATCAAGCTAAATGAAATTCAATTCTACTTCTACATCTCTCAAAACTTATGCTAGCCATTACATACAATTTGTCAACTGTGTTCCGTAAATGATATGAAATGCTCTAGAAAGACTGCATAATGAAACCCAAGGCAATTAGATGGATTTGTGTTTTTGAGCAACATTACCAAAAGCTACAACTTCAGAGCCGGCCTTCTACAACAACCTTCATCCTCCTGCAGGTCTTCAATCACCAAAAGTTACCGCAAGAGCATTTCCCATTACTGAAGTGATGGAATCTCATGTTATCTCTCACAACAATCTCCCTCCCGGCGACCTGCGATGCACCACACATGAAAACATGACAATCTTCACAGATCCTAATGTTCTTCATAATCTTTATGGTGCTTCCAGCATCTGTACTGAGCAATGCATATGCCAGAGCTAGCTTTTCACTATGCGACATTAATATGCGCTTCCTATCTTCAATCCCCAAATCATAAGCCGCAGAATTCAGGTTTGGCTGGTACCCATGAGCCTGTAATCTGTTCAGAAGATCATCCAATGCCTTCTTAATCTCGGCGTACTCTGGATGGTTCGTTTCACCTGCACAGAATTCATGAATTACCCCCTTCTTCGTTTCGACCCAGCTATACGCAGGATTCTTTTTCAGACCTTTTTCCTTCATCATCTTCCTCACTCTTGAAACATCAGCCCACCTTTCTGCTGATGCATATATGTTAGAGAGCATCACATAGTTTCCGATACTATCAGGTTCAAGCTCAAAAAGATGGTTTGCAGCAATCTGAGCTATGTCAGGATTCCCATGAATACGACATGCTCCGAGTAGTGCTCCCCACACACCTCCGTGGGCAGCTATCGGCATTGTTTCGACAAGATCAAGAGCTTCTTCCAAGCGCCCAGCTCGACCAAGTAGGTCTACCATGCAAGTATAATGATCAGCTGATGGAACAACATTATAGTACTTCTCCATGGTTGCAAATAACTGCCGACCTTGATCAACCATGCCTGCATGGCTGCACGCCGTTAGAACCCCTATAAAAGTAACCCGGTTAGGTCTTATCTCTGTTGTCAACATCTCATGAAACAATTCTATCGCTGCATTGGCACGGCCGTGCATCGCAAACCCCAAAATCATTGAGCTGTAAGAAAATACGTTTCTTTCCTTCATTCCTTGAAAAACCTTGTAGGCTTCATCCAAGCTCCCACATTTTGAGTACATATCTATCAATGCAGATCCCACAAGAACATTTTCAGTAGGCCCAAAACCAGATTTCTCGGCAATGTCTCGAACCCAATTGGCATACTTAGATGCACCCAATTGTGCACAAGCTGAAATGAGACCAACCAACGTAATCTCATCGGTGCCCACACCAGCACCTTGCATTCTCTCAAAGCAATCCAACGCATCTCTTGGCCGGGCATTCTGGGCATAACCAGTAACCATTGCCGTCCACGCCACCATATCTTTCACAGGCAACCCCTCAAACAATTCCCTTGCTGATCCCATATCCCCAATCTTAGTATAAGCAACAATTAACTCGGTCCAAGAAACCACATCCCTATCAGGCATTTCATCAAACACTTTGCGCCCACAATCCAAAAAACCACACTTTACATACATATCAATCATGGTGTTGCCCACATACAAATCCGCCGCAAACCCGCCAACCAAAATCGTCTGGGCATGTATCTGCCTACCCAAGTTCACATCAAGCACATCCCCACAAGCCTTAAAGAGAGCCGAGAAAGTAAACGACACGGGGCCAGTCCCTGCGCTTCGCATACAAGTATAAAAATTCAGCGCCTCCGAAATGGGTCCCTGAACTGTGTACCCGCGAATCATAGCCGTCCAGAGAAATGGGTTCGGGTACTTGACCTGTAGGAAGACGAGGCGCTGATACGCGTCCAGTGGGACGCCGAGCTTCGTGAGCATGCGGACGAGCTTGGTGAGGACGTAGCAGCACTGGCTGAGGCCATGGCGGAGGAGGTGAGCATGAACCTCCTTGACTTGGCTGAGATTGGCGCAGCCATCTAGATCAGAGATGAGTTTGTGCTCCAAGAGCTTCCGCTTCTGCTGAAACTCGGAGAAGGGGATGAAGAATCTGGTTGGCTGTGGCTGGTGCTGGTGAAGCTGCTGAGGTAAAAGCTTGTGAATTGGGACTGTGGAGAATCGGCGAGAGAGATTTTGCATTGGACAATCCAAGTCCCTCTTGCTGCGCGCGGATCTGAGAATGCATTTGATAAAAGAGAAGGAGAAACTCCCGCTTTACAAATTAAACGGTGCGTATCAGTATAACTCGAGGGAAAAGCAAAACGGTGCGTTTGTTCCTCTCTAATCTCTACACGCTGCTCTCTTGGTCGCACAGTGACAGCATAACAGAACTCCCGAGCCCAAACTCCAAATTCCTCTGCCCTCCTCTAGACGACGTCGCATCAAGTCTCCTCCTTTCTTTTCTTGGAGAACTAGGTAGCTTCTCTGTCCTCTCTGGGTCTTTTCCAAAATGATTATTGCTGTTTTGCTGTATTTTTTTTCCCTTTCGTTTTGGAAATTTTGGAGGTAAAGTATTGGAGGCAGGAGGTTAGTATCAAATTTATGGCTTTCTCTCGTTTATGAAATTTGATGCTAGTTTCTTATGGATGTTGCATGATTGCTTCATAGAAAATGGCTTCTAACGGTTTAGAAAAGTTTGGGGCCGAATATGATTAAATGATTGTTCTTGAAGACAATATTTATGATTTAGTTATCTTACATGCGTTTGTGATTTCAAAATTTTAATTTAAAAGCTGTTTTAGGGAGACTTACTATTTTGATTTGATTGAAAACTGATATCCAGGATGGTTTTAATATTTTTACTTGTAATCCCTACCAAACATATGGCTTACATTTTACATTTCGCTGTTCTGTTATGGACAAGCACTAAATACTTTGTTCTGTGTGATTAGGCTGGTTGATTTAGCAAATGGATAGTGATTTTCAAAGCAAATCATTAGAAAAAAGTGACAAGGACGCAATATTTGGAGAAAGTGATGAACTAAGAGTAGGGATGGAGGTTAGTGATGAATCTGAAGCTTACCAGTTCTGCAACACCTATGCCTTTAACAAAGGTTTTAGTATTCGCAAGGGGCATCTTCGAAGAGATTCGCAAAATAATGTCCGGCAACGAGAATTTTTGTGCTCAAAGGAAGGATTTCAAGTAGATGAAGACTTATGTGAAGCGAAGAAAGTGAGAAGGCTAGATACAAGAACAGGTTGCAAGGCTGTAATTCGATTCACTGTGGAAAATGGTATGTGGAAGCTCTCCTACATCAATCCAGTTCATAATCACGAGTTTGCTAAGCCTGAGGAGCGACAATTTCTAAGATCAGGTCGAAATATACCAAGTGTTCGTGCAACTATCCTTGGCTCTAAGAGTGATGGGACTATAAGACCAGCAAAATCATTTTCATACTTGGGAAAAGAGTTTGGCAGTGATGAGAATGATGGATCTACTAATAAAGATTTGCGTAATTGTTTGCAAAGGAGTAAGGATGAAATGATAGGATGGAATGGACAAAGCTTGATAAATTATTTTAAGCATAAACAGATGGAGGATCCAAATTTTTTCTACAGTGTTCAAGTGGATCAATTTAGTCGAATCACAAATTATTTCTGGAGAGATGGTAGATCAAAGTTGGATTATGATTGCTTTGGAGACGTTGTATGTTTTGAAACTACGTTTCGAACCAACAGCAATCTAGTTTGTAGTCCAATTTTGGGAGTCAATCACCATTGGAAGAATATCTCATTTGGTTGTGCTTTTTTATTGGACGAGAGTGCTGATTCATTTATTTGGTTGTTTGAAACATTTTTGGAGTCGATGGGAAATAAACAGCCAAAAACCATTTTCACGGATGAGGATAAAGCAATGGAAAAGGCAAAGGCAATTGAGACTGTGTTCCCAGAGACACGGCATCGGTTATGCAATTGGCAGATCTCCAAGAATGCTACACAACATCTTGCTAGTCATTGTGCTGATCCTGAATTCAAGAAGCACTTCAACAAATGCTTTCTTGATTGTTTTACTGAAGTGGAATTTCAAAATTCCTGGGATGACATGATTAAAATGTTCAACCTTGAAAGCAATTCGTGGCTGAAGATGTTGTATTCACTTCGAGAGAAATGGTGTCCTGCATTTAGCCTAGATACTTTCTCAGCAAATATTGGATCAAGCCAGAGGGGTGAGAACACAAACACTATTTTCCATCAAGTTTCTAGAAAAACAGTGGATCTTGTTAGTTTTGTACAGCATTATGAGCAAAAAACAAAAAAGATGCGATTCACAGAGTTGGAAGAGGATTTTCGTTGTAAAAATGCTATGCCTCATGTTAGAGTAAATAGTGGTATCTTTAAGCATGCAGCTACTGAGTACACTGTCAAAATGTATTCATTCTTTGAAAATGAGCTTATGAGTATTTTTGGGGTGAGGATGGTAGAAGTTGGTAATGATGGCAATCAATATATTTATGAAGCAATTGAAGAAGGTCTTCAAAGAGTCTACATGATTCAATACAACTCTACTACGCCCATGATTTCTTGTTCATGTAAGTTATTTGAATCCATGGGGTTGTTGTGCCGTCATGCCCTAAAAGTACTGGATTTTAAAAACTATACAAGCATACCAACACAATACATAGTGAAGAGATGGACTAAAGGGGCAAAGAAAGGGATTGTGGTGAGTAATGAGTTCTGTATGTCATCATATAGAAAGGCCAAGTCTGCCCAATCGCTGCGCCTAAGTGAGTTGATGCATGAAGGAAATAATGTTTTCAGTATAGGCTCATTGTGTGATTCAGGAACGAGGATTGTCAGACAAAAGTTAGCGGAGACCATAAAGTTACTAGAAAGTGACGAGGAAACTACCAACATGCTGGGAAGTTTGAGCAAAGTAGACGACCAATCTGGTCATGATGTGCTTCTTGATAATGGAAGTGTGGAATCCCCCAGTTGTGATGGCTAAAGGAAAAATGCTATATTGAAAAGTACATGTTCAGGGTATTGCTTACTTTTGTTCTGAAAATTGCACTTCATTGCGTAAGATGTTCAGAAATGAAAGGTTAGAGTATCTTTTTCTTCTTTGGCAGAAGCCAGCATTGTACATCCTTTTCTTTTTCAAGTAAATCAGTATTGATATTTCTGATAATATAGTGGAGGATAGTTGATAAAGTATATGTTCTATGGAGTTCTGTATTGATATTGATGTAAGTATATTTTTCGTAATTTCATCTCTTGAATATTCACTAGACACTAGACTATACAAAACAGGTGAACTGTCTCAGTATCATCTCTGGGGTCATCTTCGATATCATCAACGGGCATGATCCTCCTCTCAGTATTGCTGAAACCTGGGGTCGCATTAGGTAATTGGATTCCCATTTAAAAGTGCTATTTTGCTGTTTCAAACTGAATTCATTTTTCGATTTGCAACTTTGTACATGTTTGATGTAATTACCGTGTACGGATTGGCTGAATAAATGTCTAGGTCATTTTCATGAAGTTGGTTTGAGAGGATTAAGGAGCAGAAGGCACATGAAGATAGTGTGGAGGTGGATGAGGAGGCAGAAGCTTAGACCAATATTCAACCATGTAGGGTCCCAGAAGCAGTTTCTGGTTCTGGGCATGACTTGGTTTACAGAGCCCAACTTCAAGCAGCAGGCTAAACCAGTAAATGATTATCCACAACACATGTCCCCTTGAAGTCTATGAATTACTAGCTAAGAAGCTTTGCTCTGCATTATCATTTTTTGATTGTTTTGCTGTAACCCCTATAATGTAAAAAACCAGGGCTTAAGTGATACAGTTCTAATTCTCTCCCATTTCAGTTTGTCAATGATTCTCATCTAGCTAATGCTATACAGACTGCTAAAAAGAAAACCACACCTGGACCAAAAAGTAAAATGCTACTTATTGATTTTAACTTTTCCAACTTATATTGCAAATTATAAAATACACCACATAATTATATTAAAAGAAGAATAATGTGCCAAATTCAATGTGAGCATGCCATATAAATTGTATAGGAAATGTTGAAGTTATATAGCATTATCCTACAAAAGTACACTTTTTTTAGTAAGGCAGGGGTAATTGTAGCAAAATAAATTCCCCAAAACCCCTCCACCAATAAAAACAGCTAATTTTTTTTTTTCTACAATCAATAGCGATAGAGGGGGAAATCGAACTTAAGACATCGAATTGAGTGCAGAGGTAAATCCTCTTAATCACTTGGGTGGGATCCTTAACCACTTGGGGACGTAAAATTATTAGTAAAAATTACTCGAGTTTGTGGGAACCCGCCATAAAAGAGTACGAACAACTAAAACATAAGCCGAAACGCAGCGTTTCGTTCGTCTCTAATCTCTTTCTATGGACTCTATTGTCTTCGAACAGTGCGCCAGAGACAGCATCCCAGCACCTCAGCTGTCACTCAGTCCTCGGCCAGTCCAAACTCCAAAGTCCTCTTCTCTATTCACTTCTTCTCCGATAACCCAAATTCCCCCCGTTGCAGCTCGCAGGCCTCCTTCGAACGGTGACGTATCAAGTCTCTTTCTCTTCTCTAGTTTCTCGGCGAACCAGGTATCTCCTCTATCCTCTCTTGGTCCTGGCTCATATGATCATTGATGCATTCCTGTTTCCTTTTTATTTTTCAAAATTGTGGGAATTGGAGTTCTGGTGAAATGAGATGTGCGAATTTATGGAATTTCGTTTATGAAGCTTGATGCTTTATTTTTTATTTTTTTGGATATAGGATGATAAATTCGTAGAAAGAGACTTCTAATAGCTTAGAAATTTTGGGGTAACTTACATTGCCCTTGTGATTGATCTTGGTTCTGTTTTCAATTTTTATATTTTTGGAATTTTTTATAGCTGAAGTTGTGAACTTTGCTCGCTCTATTTGGTTAAAAAACAATATGGACGGAATAAAATCGCCAGGGTTGTATTTGGATTTGTGGATTCAAAATGGGGCATATAAATTAGGGTTTTTGGTTTAGATAATTGATAGGTTGAGCCTAATATGCTGTCACGTAAATTTTTTGTTTGCAAATAGATAGACAAACTTTTACTTGCAACGTATCTGTTACATTTTGGATTTTACTATCTGTAAATAAAAGTACTGAAAAATGTGTTGTTTATGATTAGGCAGTTGGTTTAGATAATGGATTACACTTGTCAAGGGAAAATATTAGAGAGAAGTGACAAGGAAGAAATATTTGACGCAATTGATGAACTAAAAGTGGGAATGGAGGTGTCTAATGAAGCTGAAGCTTACAATCTATGCAACACCTATGCCTTTAGGAAAGGTTTTAGTATCCGTAAAGGGAATATTCGAAGAGATGCGCAAAATAATGTCAGGCAAAGGGACTATTTTTGTTCAAAAGAAGGGTTTCAATCGGATGAAGATTTGTGTGAAGTGAAAAAGGTGAGAAGATTAGACACTAGAACAGGTTGTAAGGCTCTAATTCGATTCACCGTGGATAATGGTATATGGAAGATCAGTCACATCAATCTAGATCATAATCATGAGTTTGCTAAGCCTGAAGAAAGACAATTTCTACGATCAGGTCGACATATACCACGTGTCCGTGCAGGTATCCTTGGCCCTAAGGTTGATGAGAGTACAAGACCAACAAAATCATACTCTTACTTGGGCAAAAAGTTTGGCAATGCTGAGAATGTTGGGTCCACTAATCAAGATTGTCTTAATTATTTGCAAAGGAATAAGGAAGAAATGCTAGAAGGAGGGGATGGGCAAAGTTTGATAAATTATTTTAAGCATAAACAAATGGAGGATCCAAGTTTTTTCTACAGTGTTCAAGTGGATCAATTTAATCGGATCACAAATTATTTTTGGAGAGATGGTAGATCAAAGTTAGATTATGATTGCTTTGGAGATGTTGTATGCTTTGACACCACATTTCGAACCAAGAAATACAATCTAATTTGTGCTCCATTTGTGGGTGTTAATCATCACTGCAAGAATGTCTTATTTGGTTGTGCTTTTGTATCGGATGAGAGCACTGACTCATTTATTTGGTTGTTTGAAACATTTTTGGAGTCCATGGGATATAAGCAACCGAAAACCATTTTCACAGATGTGGGTAATGCAATGGCAAATGCAATTGCGGTTATGCTTCGAGAGACACGCCATCGCCTATGCATATGGCACATATCTAAGAATGCTACACAATATATTGGATCTCATTATTCTAATCACGAGTTCAAGGAGCACTTTAACAAATGCTTTCACGATTGTCTCACTGAAGCGGAATTTGAATCTACATGGAATGACTTGATTAGAAAGTTCAACCTTGAGGGCAATTCGTGGCTGCAAGAGTTATATTCACTTAGAGAAAAATGGTGTCCTGCTTTTAGCTTAGACACTTTTACAGCCAATATTAGATCCTCCAATAGAGGTGAGAGCATAACCAGTACATTCCATCAAATTTCTACGAAAACAATGGATCTCATTGGTCTTGTACAGCATTACGAGAAAAAAACAAAAGTGGTGCGGTCAGCAGAGTTGGAAGAGGATTTTCGTTGTAAAAATGGTATGCCTCATCTTAGAGCAAATAGTGGTATCTTTAAGCATGCAGCTTCTGAGTACACAATTAAAATGTACTCATTCTTTGAAAATGAGCTTATGAGTATCTTTGGGGTGAGGATGATAGAAGTTGGTAATGATGGCAACCAATATATTTATGAAGCAATTGAAGAAGGTCATCCAAGAGTCTACATTATTGAATATAACTCCGCTACTTCCATGGTTTCTTGTTCTTGTAAGTTATTTGAATCTATAGGATTGTTGTGCCGTCATGCCCTAAAAGTGTTGGATTTAAAAAACTTCACAAGCATTCCGACCCGGTACATAGTGAAGAGATGGACTAAAGGGGCAAAGAAAAGGATTGTGGAGAGTAGTCATTTATATGAGTCGTCATATAAAATGGGGAAGTCTGCTCAATCATTGCGCCTAAGTGAGTTGATGCATGAAGGAAATAATGTTTTCAGTATAGGCTCATTGTGTGATTCAGGAACGAGAATTGTTAAACAGAAGTTGGTGGAGGCCATGAAGTTGCTTGAAAGTGATGAGGAAACTACATCTATGCAGGGAAATTTGAACAAAGTAGATGATCAATTTGTTCGTGATGTGCTTCTTGATAATTGAAGGTATTGAATCTCCTACTTGTGAGGGCCAAACAAATCGAATGATAGATTGAAAAGCAATGAAAAAACAGGAGAATGTAAAATTGTACTTTGTTGTGAGGTTTTGGAACATGGTTTTGTTTCTTCCTTTTTTCTTTTTTGGGTCTTTTTAGGTTGAAGCTGTCATTGTACATATTTTCGTTTCAGGTGACAGCTCCCTTATGTTAGAAATATTCTGTTATTGTGCTCCTTATATGTATGTGCTTTGTATTGGAGTTTATAAACTTTGGTCAGTTTGGGATGAATTTAAGTAGCATATCCTTTTGGTCTATGATATTTTGTGGTTCTTTCTTATAGTTTAGTTCATGTGCATCTTGTGATCTTTTTTTTGGGGGAAAAGAGTTGTTTTCTTGGCATATTTTGTGCAACTCCATTATAAAGAGGAAAGATGAGTTCTGTATTCATTTTGTCATCTGGGCGCTGAAGATGCTTGGGATGGGACAATACAAAACAGGTGCATTGTCTCTATATAATCGTAATAAACATTTGAATAATGATTTATGGAGGAGATTTGTTCTCCATGACCAAAGAAATTAAACAAAATTAGACAAAATTTAAAAAAACCGGGTATAGCCGAGCGGCTATACTATTTTTAAAAAGAGCACCCCAGTGATTAGGCGCCACGTATCAAAACCGGTCTAGCCGTGCGGCTATACTATTTTTCCGAGTATAGCCGGCCGGCTGTACTATTTTTAAAAAAGGATCCCTAGCGATTAGATGCCATGTGTAAAAAAATACGTATAGCCGTTCGGCTATACTGTTTTTTGAAAAATATCGTAGTATAGCCGCGCGGCTATACCATTTTAATACATTATATTTGAAAGGCATAGCCGCGCGGCTATATTATTTAATTTTAAAAAATTAAGAAAAAAAAACCCTCCTAGTTGCATTAATTTGTACTTTATAGATACTAGCTATCTGATTTTGTTTTAATTTTTAATTTTTTTAATATAAAAAAAAAGTAAATTTACCATATTATCCTCATTTAATTAATAATTTCAATTCTTAATGTTTGAATTAACCAATGGCATTTTCTAGTATTTTGAATGTTTCACCATTCTTTGCCTTTTGCTAGTTTCAACATATCCAAATCATATATTAATTGGCCACTATATAATATTTTAATATAATTTTTATAACTTATATTATTCTTATTCAATAATATGTGAGAATTATTTTTATAATACTTGAATTTTGTGTGTTTTACTGAAAATTTTGTTAAAAATACGTATATTAAACATTAAAAATACCCATGTACATGTACAATACAACTATTGTATGTTAGCTTTTTAAAAAACGTAAGACGTATACAGAACACGATTGTATTATTAAAAAAATACGTATGTATGTGTATAATAGAGTATTAAACATGACAGTGCTAAATTCTTCATACGGGTATTAACTCTAGAAAAGTAAAAAATTAAAAGGTGATAATAGAGAATCGGGGTTTGGTCTAATAGTAATGGATAATGCTATAAACCACTCTTATTGATAAACGAAAATCGAGTAAAAATTTAAAAGACAAAAAGGATCCCAATGTATATATAAAGACTATTAGTACGAAAAAAAAATTCAATTATAGCCACGCGGCTATACTATTTATTAATAATAAAAAAAAAGAGCATCCGCACAGAGCCTAGGCGCTCATGTGTGGAATGGTATAGCCGTGCGGCTATACTATTTTTTTTTAAAAAGAGTACCCAGCGATTAGGCGCCACGTGTCAAAACAAGTCTAGCCGTCCGGCTATACTATACAAAAAACGCGAGAACTAAACCCAATGATAGCTAATCGTTTTGGACCTAGATCTAAGAAGCCCTTAAATGAATTGCTAATCTCAACAACCCAGGCAACTCAAACCCATTGAATTGCTAATCAAGCCCTCGGAGTTAGCTCAAGTTGTGAAGATCGATGCGGAAATGGGTTAGGGTTAGACTAGGTCAAGGTTGGATTCCTCCGTTCTAACCCGAAAAATAAACTATGAGCTCGACAAAATGATTTTTGGTTATTAAAAAGAACTAAATAAGTTTAAGGCTTTTTAAACCCACCCAAATGTTAGCGCTCTTGATAAACATTTTGCTTTGTTAGGTGGTAGGGGTTAATCTTTAAAGCAAAGTGAGATTTGGGTTTTGGAAAACAGAAAGTGGCAACATGTTTGGGACAGCGATAAGGTGTATTGCGAGGAAACCAAAACCGCAGATGAAACCCATAGAGCTCAAAACCCCACCTGAGCAGACGCAGACCATCACTAGGGCCATCTTCGATATCGTCAAGGAGCATGGTCCTCTCACCATTACTGAAACCTGGGATCGCGTTAAGGTGATTTGACTGCTGCTATTGTGATTACGTACTTCATTTTTGGTGTAGTTAGTTATTGCGTACCAAGTGTTTGATTAAATGTCTGAGTCGTTTTCAGGAAGTTGGGTTGAGAGGATTGACGAGCAAGAGGCACATGAAGATAGTGTTGAGGTGGATGAGGGAGAGGCAGAAGCTTAGACTAATTTGCAACCATGTAGGGCCTCAGAAGCAGTTTCTGTACACGACTTGGTTTACAAAGCCCAACCTCAAGCATCAGGGAAAACCAGTAAATGGTTCTCCACAACCCAAGTCTCCTTGAAGTCTGGATTATTAGCTAAGAATATTGCTCTACCGTTATCAAACTCTGAGTTGTTTTGCTACATCCATCAATGTAAACTAGAAACTAAAGGGCTAAAGTTGTAATGGGTCTCTCTTTCCAACTTGCCAGTGATTCTTATTTAGTTAATGGTTTGGAGACTGCTGAGACTGCTCGAGCTCGATAAGTCCCCCATTTTCATAGTTCAAGGTGAATGGACGATGCCGAATTACAACAAATAAAAACCTACTTTTGTTCTGGATGTTCTTTTTTTTAAAATTTACCAAATAAAACGGGCAAAGACCTGAAAGGGCAGTCACGCATGCACAAGTGGGCAATCTCCTCCAGCTGTTGATGCAATCTGGGACTCATATGCATCAATGACTGGAAGTCGTCCACTCACAACTAACTGGCAAATCACCATCCCCGACCATAAAAATATGCTAATGGTATAAATGCCATACTGCATCAGGGAAATCCATAAAAAGACAGTTTGTGCGTATTCAGTAAGTTACAGGCTTACAGCACACATATCTCCTTATAAGATTACGAATGATGCTGTGTTTTTACCTTATGCACCAAGCATTTCACTGAATTGCCAATTTTTCAAATCCATGCTCTAGCAAAATCGATCATGTCATTGTCAAGCTTTTGAACAAGCTACTGGCTAGATGTCTTAATATGTACACAATGTACATAAGAAAGCGAAACCTGAGGGGCGATTATGTCACCATAAAAGAAAAATCGACCCACTAATCTAAGTGTAGTTCATCTTCTTTTGCTAAGCAACGAAATCTCTAAAACAGGAGAAGAGAGCATGTGTAGCATTCTACTTGACAGTTAAAGGCCTCAAAGTGTTAGGAATCTGAGTGGCTCTTTGACTTGTGCAACACTTCCTTCAGAACGGCAGCAATTCTATTTGCCATATGGTGTTCTAGAAACCTTTCTTTGACCATTTCGTAGCCTCTCTTCCCCATTGTAAGCCTCCTCTCAACATGAGTGGCAAGTTTTACAATATTTTTCGCAAGAGGAGTGATCCCTTCCTTCCCAACAGGATGCAACAAACCTGTTGTTCCATTCACTACAATCTCTGTGGTGCCACCTGCTGCTGTTCCCTGAAATAAATATTTGATTTGGAAATTAGAAAAATGGCAATGGGAATGGGTCAATAGGATTAGCAGTCGCAGCATGAGTTACAAGATATTACACAAAATAACAAGAGGAAGGTTCTTTACCAATACAGGCAGCTGAAATGCCATGGCTTCAATAGTTATCCTACCAAAGCATTCTCCCCGTGCCTATGGAAGGGTTTTAAAAAAATTAGAAGATGAAAAAGGATTTATTAATTAGATTTATGTAGTTTCAATCACATTAGGGTCAGACTTGCTGGGAAAGACATTAATATCAATGCCTATGTATGATTACTGTTACGCTAACTGGGAACTTATTCACATTAAAAACTATGGTTTCGCATCCTATATGTATCATATGTTCTTCTATCTGCAACTTTTTCTATAAATAAGATATAATTAAAAAAAAACATTTAATAAGAGAAAAATCTTCCTAATACCTGGGAATTTTGAACAAGGACATCAATTGCAGCCAGATATGGAGCTACAGTAAGAGTTTTGTCTACAAAATGAACACGATCTTGAATTTTCTTCATCGATACAAAGTTACGTAGTTCATGCTCAAACTTGGTGTGAGCAGTCATGTCACTCCCTACAATTACTGCATGCATTCTTGGCAGTTGCAGCTTCTTCTGTTGGATCAATCGCAAGCTTTCATAGAAGGAACGCAAAAACAGATCTTGGCCTTTTCCACGTGAAACACCTGTAGTCATGCGGTGTACTTCAGTGTTCACAAGGTATGCACAAACTAACCATAAGACTATTGTTTATTTTTCATTTCCTAACGGCAATTTAAATGGAAATTAGTAGACTTCCATCAAATAGCTTGAAATACGTACTGTTTATGATGGCAAATAGTAGATCTTCTCTTCGCACTCCAAGAGACTCCCGGACATGCTCACGCAAAACCCTTTTTGCTACACTATCTTCAGCAACTTCCATTAGTTCCTTGCTGTTTCCAAGGTGAACAACAAAGGTCTCTGGCATTTTGATACTGCAGAGAGCAAATGAGTGGAAATAGTAAACCAAAATTTGATATAAAAAAGAAAAAGAGTCAATATTTGAAGCCTACCCCAAACGTTCTCGAGTCCTATTCTCCCAATATTCTGCTGTTACATGCGAATCTATCATAGAACCTGCAACAAGCGGGAGGTGCTTGACATAATCCAATTTGAAGTAATGGCCACGCATTTCATGGATCCACCACAACACTTTCGGGAGAACACGGGGAACATTTTCCTTAAGAACAACATCCAACCATTTCCCAGAAACTGCGGTGTTCAATACAACCAAATCAGCTTTGAGAGCTGTATTTACAGCTTCTTGGGCATTTTCAGAGAGGACCTGCAGATGTATAAAAGCATTATTAGAAACGTGCTGAGAAGTTACAGAGAAATCAAACCTATCAGAAACAGGAAATATCACGTAGAAGACCAAAGCCAGACAAGGCCATAATTTAGATAAAATCAAATTGGAAGATGTTTTACTTCGCTTAGTTTCCTTAACAAGTGGCCAGCGGTGTGAACAAAACAATGCTTCCAAGATCATGAAATATTGAGATGATAAAGATAACGATGTAACGTGTAGACAACTAGACTGCAAAAGAAGACATTCACAATAACTTCTGAAAATAAATTAAGATTTTGTACCTGCACCCCTCGGTCCAACATCTTATGTTCCAAACTGTATATCACTACATCTGCATCTGACGGTTTCATGGTTGTAACCCAACAAACTTCAGTGCCAACACCTCTTAATAAAAATGCTAGCTCCATCAACAACAAAGGTCCACCTGGAAGAATTTTCAATATGTCATACCATCAGTAGAGTTTGTAAGATATATGTAAAGAAAGATTTAAAATGAAAAGAAAAACAATGCAGCTCTTTTCATTTTTTTTAAAAAAAAAATTAGGATTAAGGGGTTTAGGAAAATATGATCCAAAATAGAGAGAAATAAAGAGCATAAATTGATTGGATAAAATACATCTTCAGCCAAATATTTGGTTAAGGAAGGCGATAAGCTTTCATGGGTTATGCTAACCTACAAAAAACCAAAGTACATACGATTCCATGTTATTTCAGTATGCCAACAAATATAAGTAAATATAACAGAAGGAACATATGCGCATTACTGAATGTTGGTCTGTTGACGCCTGTCAAAATATTCATCCAATATTACTGAATGTTGGTCTGTGTACTACAAAATGTTTGGAAATATTCCTCATTTACATGATATTACATTAAATGCAGTAAGTTCGTGTCGAAGACACAAAAACAAGTGTATCCCAATAATTAGGCAAATATTCGAAAGACGACAGAAATTTTATGTTGAGCAGTTACACATTGCTGAGAAATTCCAGAAATTTTTTTGGTTCACACCTTGAGCACACATCAGTACATAACTTATTTTTGGGCCTATTGGCCTCTGAACAACACAGAAATGGACCAATAATTATACGCCCCCGGCCTATTAAGTTAATTTACGTAAGTTACAAATGAATGTACAAATAGCACAACATGGATGCCCTTTTATAAGAACCAACAATACCAGAGAAAATAAGGTACTACATTCCATAATCTTGACATCACATAATTCCCTAATGAAATCATCGGTTAAACTCAAACAAAATGGAAGGACATGCAAATGCACCAACCCACGTTTCCCTAGTTTTTCACATACAAATTAAACTCAACGAGTTTAGAAAAAAAAAGAAAAAAAGAAGAAGAAAGCATTAGCACACTAGGGAACAAACTAGCTGCCATATCCTCCATCTCCATAAATACCAGATTAAAAAGCCAAAGCTAAGGGTGACTGGTGAGAAGGCACAAGAACTTATTGTTGAATGGGTTTAAAAATCCATCCCATATTTGGAAACCCAGTAGCTCAAAAATTCATTACATATGAGTGTCTTTGCCATCTTAAGTAGCTAACTTTCTGTGTACGTATAATCTAAGTCATCAAAAGCTTAACATAACTAATCACACCACTAATAGCTGAAATTGCAATCAATGCATTAAATTCATCAAATTAGCAATAAAATAATGGAGACAGAGACAGCACCAGAAAGAGAGAGCTCGTGCGAGACTAACAGCACGAGCTTGGACTTCATGAAGCTGAGGGGGCTAGGACTGGTCCCAATGGGCGAGCCCAAAGGAACCCTCTTGTCGACGACATCCATGCGATGGTCGCAGGAATCGAAGGCGGCTCTGATGAAGAAGGCGATCAAGGTGGAGACGGAGAGCATGACGAGAAAGGCCAAGAGCCAGCGCTTCTGCGACGCGACCCACCCGACGGAGTGCTTGGCCATCTCTAGGGTTTGGAGAGTCGGCGAGGTCCGTTACTGCGAGCCTCGGCGGCATAATTCTAGGGTTTGGATTTTCGACTGCGACCGGTGGGTTTGGTACATTTGGCTTTCTATGATTGAAGACACTTGAAAATAATAATAATAATAATAATAATAAACAATAAATGAAAAGGCTTTTCGATTTCGAAGGCAGCTGTGTGGCTTTGGCGTTGAAAGCTTCAAATGTTGGTGATATTAATGGCGGATTCTGAAGCTCGTTGCTCTGCTATTTGTGTTGTTCAGAGAAACGGAGCACGGAGCTCAAGTTGAGGAGAGAGTTGCTTTCTTCTGTGTCTTTGGCTCCTTTTTGGCATTACCAATACTTTTTGCTTTTTTTGGTTTTTGGTTTTTAATTTTTTAATTTTCTTCTTTTGCTTTTTTGTTTAGGAATTAGGAATAATGCAAATGCCATTTTGCAAAATCTTTTTCTTTTTGGTTTTCTCTTTCCTTTTCCCCTTTTCTTCCCATTTTTAAACACTTGTTTGCTGTCATCAAATTCCCCTTTCTCTTTTCTTCTTTTACTTTTGAAAACAAACTCTTTTTCTTTTGGGAGCAGTTATTGGCACTTTAAAAAGTCGTCATGAACTTATCCAAGTGCAATTTTGTATCTTTATAACGGGAGGGTTTAAGAACTATATGATTGTTCAGACGTAACATAAAACTAAAATGCTAAATTAATTTAAAAATATTATATGTAATTTTTTGGTAAATACCACGAGGTGTCCCCACATTCGAATTGTGGGATTAATCTCCGCTCGAAGTTCGGCTTGTCCCTGGCCACAACGT